AACCCAGTACCATTGCCCTCCCCTCCTCTGGGGCCACAGCTGGCCTTCGGGGTCCTTGGGTTCACCCCTGGAGGTAGAGGCCATTTCATCAACCATGTTGCAGGGCACCTGGTGGGATAAACAGCAGAACCTTTGAGGGAGTTCTCAGGTGTCGGGCCCAGTGGAGGTGAGCTATGGCATCGATTATCCCAAAGCGTCGCATTCCCTGAAATCGCCCTATGGGATGACGGTTACGGGTTGCTCTGGAGGGAGCAGTCCTCTTCCCATTCTACTTGCCATGAGCTTGAACCAGAATTCAAATGTCTTTCTCTTTCCTTGAGTGAGATGGGAGAAGGTAGCCCCAGCACTCCTAGAAGCAAAGGAGATGAACCCAGGCGGGAAATGCCAGCTGCAGGTCTGCAAAGTGCAGAATCAAGTATTGAATGTAGGTCTCACTGTGGAGCATTTCTTAGGAGCCTGAGAACGCCTCTGTGCAAATACCGCCTCAGGGAGAGCAGTCGTGGGGAAGTAAGAGTGCGGGGAGAGGGAAGTGAGGCAGGCATGGACCAGAGCAAACAGGCTGCGGTATTGCTGGGCTGGCCACAGCTTCCCAGCCAACACAGCTGGTTGCTCAGACACCCGGGCTGTCGCCAACGATGCCGTGTGGAGCCACCACATTTTGGGAGAGTCTGTTGAAGGAGAGGAAGGGCAAGCAGTGTCTCTCTGGTCTCTTTCCCCTCGCCTGCCTCTTGCTGGTCAAAGTCTACCTCACGGGCTGCCTCCCTCCCCTTTCGGAGAGTGTCACTGGCCCCTCCCCAGCCACCAGGGAGCCGGTGGGGCCCAGGCAGTGCAGGCACAGGGGTTTTTCCGCTTTGCTGGCAGCGGTGGCAATGGCTTTAACACCATGGGACCAAGTTGCAAGGCAGAGGCCTGAGGGGCAGGCAAGGTGCGCAGATCCAGGGGGTAGTAAACTCAGTTCAGGTTCTTGAAATCAGTGCAATGCCACTTGCATAAATGATCCTAATTTCAGCCAAAGACTCAGTGAGCAAAGGCTATGATGTAGTCAGCATGCGTAGCCTTTGTTACGCTTAAAGGGGCAGACAGACTGGCCTTCTTGTCTGGCTGGAGGTTGAATAAAAGGTCATGATCAGTTGTCCCTGTTTTTGTTGAGGAACTGAATTTTTTAAAAATAATATTCCTTTTTTTTTAGTTGATTGATTTTTAAAATATATATATATATATATATATATATATATATATATATATTATTTCAGAGAGGAAGAGAGAGGAAGAGAGAGAAACATCAATGATGAGAGAGAATCATTGATTGGCTGCCTCCTGCATGGCCCTCACTGGGGATCAAGCCTGCAACCCAGGCATGTACCCTTGACCGGAATCGAACCTGGGAGCTTTCAGTCCACAGGCCGACGCTCTATCCACTGAGCCAAACCAGCTAGGGCTTTTAGTTGATTATTTTAATTTTAGAGAGAGAGAGAAACATCGTCATTATATGTGTGAGAAAGAAACATAGATTGGTTACCTCCTGCACATGCCCTGACTGGGAATCTAACCTGTAACCTGAGTATGTGCCCTGACCGGAATCGAACCCGCCACCTTTTGTGCACGGGATGACGGTCAGCCAGCTGAGCCACAGGGGCCAGGGCAAGGAACCGAATTTAAATTGCAACAGGAAGGCTGCAATTTCAGAAAAACCCTGGTTAGTAGGAACTCAGCTGTCTGAAACTCTCATTAATTAGGAATCTATTGCTGCTTAACAAAATATTGTAAATCTAGTGGCTTAAAAGAACACACACTTATTGTCTCACAGTATCTGTAAGCCGGGAGCCTGGCAGCAGCTTAGCTGGGTCCTTCTCGGGGTCTCAAATGGCAGCCGTCAAGGGGTTGGCCGAGGCTTCATGGAGGCTTGACTGGAAAAGGCCGTTCCCATGCTGGTTTGGGTTGTTGGCAGGAGTCAGCTCCTTGCAGTTGTAGGTCGAGTGCTTTGGTTTCTTGCTGGGTGTTGGCCAGAAACCATTCTCAGCAACCAGCGGTCTTGCCTGCAGTCCTTACCACGTGGGCGTCCCCAGCATAGCCACTTGCCTCCTCCGCGCCATCAAAGGAGGAAAAAGTTCAGCAAGATGGTGCTACCATCTCATGTAACATAGTCCCATGCAAAGCATCATGTATACCTGCCACCACTGCTGTTTTCTCTTGGTTAGAGTCCAGTCTCGGGTCCTGTCCACACTCAGTGAAAGGGATCATACAGGGGCGTGAACACAGGAGGCTGGGATCCTGGGGCCACCTGAAGAGTCTGCCCACCACACCTCATTTTGCTAGAACTCTATTTACAAGCAAAGGCAGCAAATACATAAAAACACACCACATGTTTATGTCAGGAATTAGGTTGAAGAAAAAGCCCCATGGGATGTGCTGAGTCAACCTACATCACCATCGGCAGCCCCCTCTGTACCAGAGGAAAGATGGCCCAGGGTCCAGTCCATTCTGCCTGCCCGCCCCCATCTTCATGCCTCCACCCCCTCCTGCTCTTTGTTAAGCAGAGAAACGGGCTCAGTCAGCAGAAGGGAGACATAGCCTTACTCACTTGTCAGTATTTAAGCTTTCCACATTTTCTGCTTATTAATATACTAGAACAGTGGTTCTCAACCTTCTGGCCCGTTAAATACAGTTCCTCATGTTGTGACCCAACCATAAAATTATTTTTGTTGCTACTTCATAACTGTAATGTTGCTACTGTTATGAATCGTAATGTAAATATCTGATATGCAGGATGGTCTTAGGCGACCCCTGTGAAAGGGTCGTTCGACTGCCAAAGGGGTCGCGACCCACAGGTTGAGAACCACTGTACTAGAACATTCAGTTACCGAAGAAACCCCCATTCCTAAAACGCCAGGCAACCGGAGCCTGCTCTGCTCGAAAAGGCAGAGTCAGGTCCTGCATGGGCTTGCCTTGGACTGAGCAGCCACGGAACCACGGGCGCCTCACTGGGGGCTCGCATCGGGGCAGTCTTGGCCCCCATTTGCAGCCAGCTGTTCCTCTGGGCCTTTTTCCCTTTCTCCCGCCTGCCTGCCTGCCTCACGTAGGCCCAGCCACTGTGTCAAGATGTAATTGACTGAGTGCCTCGGACCAGTCCAGGCTGCTGAGCCCATCAGGGCAGGAACAATGAGGTGGCACCTCAAAGGAGGAAGGCTATTTCTAAGGCTCATGGTTCATGGGCCACGCGGGCTGTGATTATCATTTTAATTGCAAGGCTGCCATGGCCTGCATTCAGGGTGCAGATTTCAATGACCAAAAGCACTCTGCAGGCTTACAAAGGATGGTGGCCGCGTCTGTGCTTCAGACTGGAGGAGCCCATTATGACATCTGTCTTTCTTGGCCTCTCCGTTGCAGCGAGACTCCCAGAAAAGAGAGACCTGACCCTCTGTTTCAAGCTCTGACTCACATCCCACCTCCTCTGGGACCCGTCCCCAAACCCACACCCATTCCCATTCCCTCAAGTACTTAGCCCCCTCATCCCACTCCCCCACCTGGAATTCCCTCAGAACACACTGCTCCTACCTCTGATTGGGGGTGTGGGGGAGGTCACAGAATTCTAACGTCACTTCCTGTGGTGTTTAGAGATGTTAAAAAAACCTTCACAATCTGTCTTACACCCCCAGTGGTACACTCCACTCTTAACGGGCAGGAGCACCTGTTATGCTCTCTAGCAGTGATCTTCAACCTATTAAAAAAATGTTTTTATTGTTTTTTAGATAGAGAGGAAGGGAGAGGGAAAGAGAGATAGAAACATCAATGAGAGCCCTAACCGGTTTGGCTCAGTGGATAGAGCATCGGCCTGCGGGCTCAGGGGTCCCAGGTTCGGTTCCAGTCAGGGGCATGTACCTTGGTTGCGGGCACATCCCCAGTGAGGAGGTGAGCAGGAGGCAGTTGATCGAAGTTTCTCTCTCATCGATGTTTCTAACTATCTCTCTCCCTTCCTCTCTGTAAAAAATCAATAAAATATATTTTTTTAAAAAGAAACATTAATGAGAGAGAGAATCATTGATGGATTGCCTTCTGCACGTCCCCCCCCCCCCCACCCCGGGGATCGAGCCCGCAACCTGGGCATATGCCCTTGGCCAGAATCAAACCCGGGATCCTTCAGTCCTGGCACTCTGTCCACTGAGCCAAACCGGCCAGGGCCAGTGTTGTTTCTTTAGACAAGTATATTGAGGGATAATGTGCACACAGTAAAATCCGCCCTAATAAGTGGACAGTTCTCCGAGTTTTGTAAAACACATTTGGTTGCTGCACAGCTTCTGTAGCCATAGGTTCCAGCACATTCTGCTCAGGAATTCTTTATCGTCTGTGGGCTCCTGTACTCTCTGTCTATAATGCCCATGTGCTGCTTCCAGGAAATGCCCAGTTTCCTCAGCTTGGCCAGTCTAGGAGCCTTTTCCCCAAATGGCTTTGACATTTAGTAGCTGCTCTATTGACGGAGCTAATCCAGAGCCAGAACAACGTTTCCCTGCAGGGATCAGGGCCCGGTGTGTTTTTAAGAGGCCTCACTTGGTTGCAAGAACCAAGGATGTGGTTGAGCCATAACAAAGCCCGTGTGGGTAATTCTGGAGTTTGACCTCGGGCTAAGAAGGCTGATGGGGCAAATATTTTCTTTGTAGACGTACACTGAGTCCTGTTCACCTTGCCTCGTCCACAGGTGGGGCAGGTAGACTAGGGGGAGTGTAGCCTGCAGATCACTGGGGGCCACTCTGCGGGCAGGGGCAATGCTTCTTCCTTCCTTATGTCCCTGTCACCTAGCACGGCTCATATCGGTGTCTGTGTGTGGATTGACCCAGGGAGTGATCCTGGGTTGGAGATGGGGCAGGAGTGTCTTACCCATCTCTTGTAGGTTTCTGAAGACAGGAGGGAGAAGGCCCCCACAGGAGCCCTGTCTCTATGCTCTGGGGGGCCCCTCCCCTCATTCCCGAGTAACCTCAGTGGCCTCCTCACTTCTGTGCTTACAGAACTACTTTGAGAGCTACCTCTCCATCGCGTCCACCGTGCCCTCCGTGCTGTGCCTTGTGGCGAACTTCCTGCTTGTCAACAGGTAGGCCCGTTCCCCCCTCTCCCAAGCCCGACCTCCACGACCTTCCCTGCCAGCCTCTTCCACTTCCCTTTGTCCATAGCTGCTGCTTTTCTGCCTGCTTAAAGGGTGGCCGCCAAGGTAGGAGGCAGGCAGCTCCGGCTCCTCCGTGAAGATTGGGAAGTCAGATCGGTTACCTGGGGGGGCCCTGCTGGTGGGAGGCCCCGCCTGGAAGCGGACTTTCTGAGCCACACTCTGTGACATGGCATCAGCAGCCAGCAGGAGACGGGGGACGTGGGTCTTCTTCCATCTTCCTCTCCAGGGGGCCTGTCTATCAATGGCTGCCCTGGCTGTGGGCCTTGCAGCCAAGGGACACCACCTGGATGGTGAGGCGGGGCCCGGAAGCAAGTCCTGTGGAAGCTGGTCTTCCGAGCTTTTCTGAGAGCAGGTTGAAGTGAAGAGCCTGGCATCCCATGAGTCTGGCTCTGGCTGTGGGGACTGGCTCACCTAATTGCTCGGTGCTAAGCTGGTGACACCAGCTCGTGTGTCGACTACTCACAAAGGGATCAGTGGGGAACTTCCAACCTGTTAGTGAGGGGCTGGGAGAGAGCCGCCATCTGGACACGCCATGGAAGAAGGAATGACTTAGGAGACAGCCAGGCCAATAGCATGGCCCGTAGACCCCACTGGGTGGGTGGCTGTTGCCATCCATCCTCAGTCAAGGTTTACAAGGCCAACAGCCCCAGCTACTGTGCCTGCATATTCTCTGAGCTATCGCCAGGTGATAACAGCGGCTACGTCATGTTTCAGAAACCTGAATTGGGGCACAACCTACTGAAACCTTAAATCTCTAATGGCAAACCCGTTTTGCCTAACTTTGCTCAATTTGTAGTGATTGCCTGGATTTCTGGTTGAACAGGAATCTAAGGCACGTTTGGCCTTGGGGAGTGTGCTGGGATGGATTAGTGATGTCTGCCTGAGTACAGAATAGAGGGGGCAGCACATGTGCCTCATGTGTGCTGAGCCTGCACTGGCCAGTCTTTCCAAACATGTTACGCTCTGGGGCTGTTCCAATGACCTGTTGTGTAAAAATTATCCCAGAGCATAGTGGCTTAAAACAGTAACCATAATTAGTATCTCTCATGATTCTGGGAATCAGCGGGCTCGGTTGGCAGCTCTGACTTGGTGTCTCTCATGTGGTTGCAGACAGCTGGGATTGGAGCTGGCCTCCTAGGGGGCTCCTCTTCTCCCCTCCCCTCTCCTCCCCTCCGCTCCCCTCTCCCTGTAGTCTCTCCCATGTTGGCCTCAGGTAGTAGGGCCTTTCATCTTGTGGCTGAAGAACAAGTGCTCCAAGAGACAAGGCAGAAGCCACGTGGTTCTCGTAACCTACTCTCTGCAGTCACATGGTGTCACTCTGCGTCACCGACTGCCCAAGGCAGTCACAGAGCCCCCTGGTTCCAAGGGGACAGAGACCCCCTCTCTCAATGGAAGGAATGCTGAAGAGTGTGCACCCATCTTCAAACCGAAGTGCAGGCTGGAAGAGCAAGAAGGAGAACGGTGCTCAGATGGCCTCAGGGCCCTTGTCCTGGCACATGGGGCTACCTTCTACCTTCAGTGTCCTAAGAGGTGGGGGTGCAGCCTCCAGAGACCCCAGACCTGAGGAGGTGGAGGAATGGAGCTAGGAGCAGAGCCAGGGGTTCCCTCAGCACTGTCAGCCCCTGGAGGGCACAGCTGGGTCCCTGGCAGTGACTTGAAAGAGAGCATGAGGACAGGAAGGGGATGGAAGAGGAGGGGGACAGCCCCATGGGGAGAGTCCCTCGGCTCCTCACTACCCTCTCTCCTCTCTAAGCCTCTCTCATGACCCTCTGTCCACTCACTTGTGCAGCTGGGCTAGCGCAGGCGCACATAAATGAGAGCTCCTGCCCCTTCCTGATCTGGAGTCTCTATCTGAGCTGTAACAAGGGGTGATGCCTGCAGATCCCATGTTGTATCACTTAGGCTGCACAGCAACCCAGGAGGGCGGCTGTGTCATGACTGAGTTACCAAGCGGTGGTGAAGTCCAGGTCAGGAGCCATCCTGGGGCTGGGGTCAGCAGGGGCAGGGAAGGCCCTCCTAGGGCCCTGGGAGAATAGAATACTCTCTAGGAAGAGCACTGAGCACTTCTGAACACGCGCTCCCTCCTTTGATCCCTGCCACAGCCTAGAACAGGAAACTTACTGCCTTGTTTTACAGGTGGTCCCATGGCTGATAAGAAGGTGCAGCCAGCATTGGAACTGGGATCCTTCTCCCCCACATCTGTGCCTAGAACCTTGGGCCCCCTACCTCCTGATCCCCAGGTTTTCCGGCCCCTCCCTGCAGCCAGAGCCACACCTCAGACCCTTCACCTGAGGGCTTGTCCCGCCCTGGCTTCCAGCTGCTGCAAGGAGGGAGGTGCTTAGGAAGGCCTGGGTCTGCCTGCAATGGGGACCCGGGGCTGCAGTGGGGACCCAGGGCTGCCTGGTTGGGCAGAGAGCTGGCCCTGAGGGCTGAGCAATTCAGGCTTCCTCCAGAGGTCCAGCCTGCCCGAGCCTGGCCTTGCCCTCCGCTGGCCACGGGAGAGCAATGTGGGGAGTGCTCCAAGCCCCCCGGAAGGTGGTTTGAGGCTGAGCTGTTTTTTGTTTAATGTGCGAGAATGAAACGTCTCGTTTTCTCGCCTCCTGGAGAACCCTGGCTTTCTCTGACTGGCTCATCCATAACCGCCGAGCGTTTTATTATGCTCAATCCTCAGCATCATAAATACTTATGAGGAGGATTTACATGTGGGAGATTTGTGAAGAAATCAGTCCCCTGGGGTCCTGAGCCTCACAAGCAAGGGGGTGGGGGAGCTGGCAGCCAGCCTGGGACAGCTGGCAACCCTCTCCGTGTCTCAGGGCCGTGTGACCTGCCCCGGGTCCAGGCGCTGGAGCAATCTCGGCCTCCCCTGTCCCAGTGCAGAACACCCACACCGGGGCAACACTTGTCAAGACTTCCCCTAAAATCCCAACAGCATCACCATCCCCTGGACCACTTTCAGAGAGTGGAGCCAGCGTGCCCCATTAGTGTATGTGGGGCAGGCTGCACTAGCATGTATTATAAAGCTTTATGAGCATTGAAAATAGCCCCGGGCCAGGTCCCGAGCGCCTGGGGCCCACGGAGGAGAAGGGGTTATGCAGCCAGTAATGAGCAGGCCAGGAGGAGACCCGTGCAGGTGAGGGGCCTTATGGGGAGGTGGAGGCAAAGGTGGCTTGCTTTGCTTTTTAATGCATGTGGCATTTACCTCCTCATCCCTGACTCTCCCCTCCCCTCCCCACCCTGTGGGTGCTGGGGAAGAAGTCCCCACTCTCTCCAAAGCATCCGTCCTGTTCAAGTAGCTACATACGGGGTGGTGACAGGCACAGGAGCTCCTGCGAGGCCCCAGAGCTCCCGAGGTGGACTGTCCTGCAGGGCCTGTGAGGAGGTGGGTAGAGGCAGAAGCTATCCCAAGGCCGCTGGAAACGCTGCAGGTGCTCACAGCTGTCTCCCTGCCACGCTGAGGGGTCAGGAGGCAGAGTGGGAGGCTCAGGCCCAGTGTGAAAGCCGCCCCTGCACTGCTGGTACCCCTGCTTGTCCGCTCGTGTATCCAGCTGATGTTTGCCAGGTGCCTGCCAGGCCCATGCCAGCCCTCAGGATAACAGCTTACATAGGCCCTGTTCTGTGTAGCTCCGTACCTCCTGGTCTGGCCGGTTCCTTCTTTTTGCCCCAAGGAACTGTTAACACCTTTGGGCATTTGTCCCCAGCCTCTCGCCACTGGGTGTCTTCAGATTTAGAGTCATCAGCTGGAAGGGGCTGAATGTTACCTTATCCAGCCTCTTCTTCTTGGAGATGTGGAGACTGAGGCCCAGAAAGGTTGACTGTTCGTGTGGGGTCACATAGTGAGTCAGTGCAGAGCTGGCCAGGACTCCAGTCTCTGAGGAGTCCCTGCTGGCTCTTCTTTTGGGGGTGAACGGGGGCAGCTCCAGCTGCTGGGGGAGGGCGGGGCACTGTGTGGCAGCATTGAGTGTGTAGGATCTCCCCAAGCATCAGAGGTAAGGCCTGCCCACCAGCCTCCAGGGCACCTGTGTGCACTTACACAGATGCTCAGGGCCCCGGGGATTCCGGTGCTCCACCTGGCTGCCCACCAGCTCCTGCCCAGGCCTAGACCCCTGCGGACCCCGGGAAGATGAGTCTTAGTGTGGGGCTCCCCAGAAATAGACCCCGGAACAAGGATTTTATTTAGAAGTAGTGTATTTGGGAGATGAAGGTAGGAGAGTGGGGAAGGGAGAGGAAGGAAATGGGGGGATGAGGACACATATGTAATAATAAAAATAGAATAAATAAATAAATAGACAAAAGCACTAAAAAAGAATGCCCATGGGGTGTACCACGCCTGACCTGCCAGGGAAGCTCTGGGTTCCTGGAAAGCACACGCCCCGTGGGAAGGAGCTGGGGTGTTTATCCACTTCCTTCCTGGGCACTGGTTGAGTTTGCTCTTAGCAGGTGTTAATCACCTGTCACTTGCAGCCTGCTTCCTAGTAAGAGGGCAGGCACAGGGGCGGGCACCCTGAGCATGTGCTCCCAGCTGGAAGCCGTGATTGCCTCTTTGTGTTAGTTGGCACCCTTAGATCCACATAGCCACTCCTTCAGGTAGACTCAGTCCCCTCCCTGTGGTACAGATGACACAAGAGACACAAGAAAGATGTTCTCATTCTTCACCTGGGAAGTTCCAGTAAGGTCTGCCTCCAGGCTCTGCTGCGCTGGGGCTCTGCAGACCCGGGTTCTAGTCCCAGCTCCCCACAGATTACACCACGGCTCCGGACCATCCCTTCACTTCTTGGGCTTCCTTCTGCCTCAGAAAGCAGAGGCAGCACTGGCTCCGTCAGCCGGATCAGAAGGGAACAGATTAGCCTGGGGCCACAAAAGCACTAGAAAAATTTTTTTCTTGCTTTTCATGTTCATCATTTCACACCTATTTATGTACGTATATTTTTTTCTACCTTTCAAATCTTTATAATTTTTTTAGTCAAAAAAAGAAATTGTGTATAACTAATCTGGCTTTTCTCCCAGCCCTCACCCACTGGTTAGCAGGAAAATTAACTTAACTTCCAATCCGATTTAAAGCTTAGTCTAATCTGATGATTTAAACAGCCTCTTTATTATTATTTTTTTTTTGAAGCAGCCTCTTTAGATGATGTTCTCTCTCCCTGGAATAAGAATGTGCAGTTTCTCTGAGAGTCAGCCTTCCCTCTCCTCCCTGAAGGGCAGTGACTGGGCAGGGTGGGGGGTGGGGGGAGTGTAGGGCTTACATTCGGGGTGGGAGGTGGGGCAGGGGGCTGGCCCTGAGCTGCACAGCTTGGCCTCAGCTGCTGCCCACAACGGAGACCATCCCAGGAGAACCCTGCCCTGGCCGCTTGTCTGGACCACCTGTGCTTCCTTTGTTCCGGGGGGCACTGGAGTGTCTATTCTGAGACCAGACTGCAGCCAGACCTGGGTTCACAGCCAAATGACCTTGAGCAGCTTCCTCAGCTTCTCTGACCTCAGTGTCCTTCTCTGTGCCTGTGGGATAGGTAGGAATGCCTGTCTGTGGAGCTGGTGTGTGGAGTCAGCGTTAGCACATAGAAAATGCTTAGTAGCGGACCTACACAAATTAAGTGCCCAGTGTTTGCTGTGACCATGATAGTGATGATGTGTTCCTTCTTTCTCTTTTCTCCCCGCACTGCTACTCTGTCAAACACTAGAGCAAGTCAGCAGGAGCTCAGCCCTGTGGCAGGAGGAGCGGGGGCTTGCCCCAGGAGCCCTCATGCTCTGTCCTGAACCTCACAGCAAGACAGAAAGAAGCAGCGTCCGCCGAGCATTTGCTCTGAGCCGGACACTGCCCACTGCACTCTGCACACACCCCTGTGGAGATCCTCACAGCCACTGGGCGGATAGACTCAGTCCCCTCCCTGTGGTACAGATGCAGAAGCTGAAGCCAGAGAAGTTGAGTCATTTATCCAAGGCCGCACAGCGAGTGCTCTGGGAAGGGCAGGATTCAGACCCAGGCCTCCTAACTGCAGATGGACAGTCCCAGTCCCTGAGCTCCCCTGCTTCCCTTAAGAATGTCCCCCACCCCCGGCCTGGCATGGAGCCTGAGGGGGTCTAACCACTTCTGCGTCTTCACCCTAGAGTTCCGGTTCATGTCCGTGTGCTGGCCTCGCTGTCTGTCATGCTGGCCATCTTCGTGGTCATGACCGTGCTGGTGAAGGTGGACACCTCCTCCTGGACCCGCAGCTTCTTTGCTGTCACCATCGCCTGCATGGCCATCCTCAGTGGCACCTCCACCGTCTTCAATAGCAGCGTCTTCGGCATGACGGGCTCCTTCCCTATGAGGAATTCTCAGGCGCTGATATCAGGTGAGAGCTGGGGTCCAGACAGCCGGCCAGGTTAGTCCTGCCGGTGACACGTGAAGGAGCCAGAGGGGAGCACGTGACTGCCCTTTGAGCAAAGGAAGTGTTAGGTGTGGTTCCATGACCTATTATTGTGTTCTGTTTTGCTCAGAAATCTGCAAATGGCATGCTCACCTGGCTGGCACGTTGGTGCTGGCCGTTGGCTGGAAGTTCAGCCAGGGCTGGGGCTGGGGCCAGGGTTGCTCTCCACCCGGACCCTGCCATGGCTGCTGGGCTTCCCGGTGGCATGCTCTGGGTTACAAGAACAGGCATCCCAAGAGACCCAGGCAGAATGTTATTTTCTTTTATGATTTCGCCATTTAGGGTCACTTCCACCAGAACCATAAGCCGGTCTGCACACTGTCTCAGTGGGCGCGTAAGAAAATTACATGGGCAGAGGCAGGTGGGAGGGAGG